ATTTTGTCCCATATTTATTCCCATGATCAATTTATTCCATGCCATGATCAATTTATTTATCCCATGTTTATCCCCATGATCAATTTATTTATCCCATGTTTATTCCCATGATCAATTTATTTATCCCATGTTTATTCCCATGATCAATTTATTTATCCCATGTTTATTCCCATGATCAATCTATTTATCCCATGTTTTTCACATTATCAGATAAATAATAAGAATTTGAAACAATCAGAGACTTATTTTAATGGGAGGCCGAGGTCATAAAAACCCTTTAAACTCATTTTACATTTTGGGGTCTTACCCAGTAAAACTGGCTCAGCAATTCTTTTATTTTCTGTCAAAACTTGCTTTCCTTTCTGTTTCTTCTTCACCTTCCACGTTCAGCGATTTTTCTGTTACACATTCACATTTGTGAGACTTTTCCTGTTCAATTCTTGTCCTTCCCAACGTTTGGGGAAAGGACAGAAGCCAAGGGCTTGGAGCACATCCCGGTGGGATTTCTGCAGGATGCAGAAATGTGGGAATGCTGGGCTGGAAGGGATGAGCTCCTCAGAGAGGGAAAAAAGGGATTTTTATTTTTTTTTTCTTTCATCTCCTCATTTTGGGCACCTCAGACACCTCCCTGTTCTTGGATTTCTCTGTCTCAATTCCCTGCTGGAAGGGAGCTGGGATGAACTCCTCAGAATGGAAAAAGGGGATTTTTTTTTTTTTCCTTCACCTCCTCATTTTTGGGGACTTTTGGGTGGCTCAGGCACCTTCCTTTTTCTTGAATTTATCTCTGCCTCAATTCCCTGCTAGGATGAGCTCCTTAGAGGGGAAAAAAGGGATTTTTTTTTTTCCTTCATCTCCTCAGTTTGAGGAGTTTGTGGCATCTCAGACACTTCCCTGTTCTTGGATTTATCTGTCTCAATTCCCTGCTGGAAGGGAGCTGGGATGAGCTTTTCAGGAAGGAAAAAAAATTTCTTTTTTCCCTTATCTCCTGAGCTTGAGGAGTTTGTGGCACCTCAGCCCTCTCCCTTTTCTTGAATTTATCTGTCTCAATTCTCTGGCTGCCCTTGGCCAAAATTTAAGGAAAGACCCCCCCGTAAACATTTTCCTTTTGATCATCCAAGCCAAACCCCGGCTGTGCTGCTCATCCCAGGGGATGAATCCTGGAATTTGGGATCCTTGGGATGAGCAGTCATCATTCCAGGGGAGAGCTGCAGCTCCAGGATCAGGGGTTTAATTCCTTTAAAATCAGGAATTCCATTCCTTTCCTCGCCTCCCCTGGCTCCGCAGGGATCATCCCGAGCTGCTCCATCAATGGCTCCGTTGTGTCCCGGGCAATGAAGCACCAGGGGTGGCTTTGGCTCCTCCAAAGCCACGGAGAGTCCTCAAAACACCTGGAAGAAAATCTGGTCCAGTCTAGACAGAGGTCACCTCACCCCGAGCTGCTCCGGGAATTCAGCAGGGAAGTTTTTGGGAGGAGTTTTTGGTTTTTTTCCGTGAGCTCAGCAGCGGGGCTGGGTGAGCAGAGAGCTGGGAATGAGCTCGGCTGCTGCTCTGGGAGTGCTGAAATTCCCGGTGGATCAAGAGACTGAGGAGATTCCTGCATCCAGCAGCAGGAAAAGGGGATGGAGAAGGGAGAAGTGGATTTATTTTTAAGGAGCTGCACGGAGCGGGATGGGAGTTTGGTTTTACCCCCTGCTCATCCCTGCCTCAAACTGACAGAGAGAGCCGCTGAAAATCAGGGAAAAATCCTCCCCTGGGAGGCTGGAGAGGGGCTGGAATGGAATTCCAGAATTCTGTGGCTGCCCCATCCCTGGAAGTGTCCAAAACCAGATTGGATCAACCTGGGAATTGTCCCTGCCCATGGCAGGGGTGGCACTGGAGGATTTTGAGCTCCTTTCCCACCCAAACCATTCCAGGATTCTTTTATCTCCCTGAATGATTTTAAATTCTTTTCCCACCCAAACCATTCCCGGATTTTTTATCACCCTAAATGATTTTAAATTATTTTCCCACCTAAACCATTCCCGGATTTTTTATCTCCCTCAATGATTTTGCTCTCCTTTCCCACCCAAACCATTCCAGGATTCTCTTTCTCCCTGAATTTCCTGAGCCTTCCCAGCACACCGCTGCTTCCATTCTGCAAACCCAGCCGATTTTTCCTCTCTCCCACTAAAATTCCTCCCCTGGAGCTTTCCTTGCAGCAGGGTTGAGGCTGGGATTTTTGGGATGCAGCTCCTTGCAGTCACGGCTGGCTGTCAAATGTCCCAGCTCCTTCCCCCTCCCAGTTTTCCTTCTCTTCTCCTGCTTTGTCTCCTGGGCTGGAGCCAAAATCAAGGAGCAGGGTGACCAAACCTGAACCAGGGGGATCCAAAACCTCCTGTGAAGGCGACTTTGGAAATCTTTGCCCCTTTCCAGCAATTCCTGGGAATTCTGCACGTCATTCCTCTCATTCATCAGGGAAACATGAATTTCCATTGAATCTTCATTTGAAATTCACTTGAAACATCAATCTTCATTTGAATCTTGCCTGTGAGCTGCTCCTGGAGCCCGGAGCTTGTCCCAGTGATGTTTTCTCTTTGGAATGAGGGGTGAGGGGGCTGGAATTTCCTCTCAGCCCCGCTGTGGTCAGGACTCCCTGTCAGCTTTTGCACGGACAAAGCAGAACCAGCACAATCCCACCGGGATTCCCAGAGGGAAGAGATGTGTCACTTTGTCCTCCAGCTGCTCTTCAAGCCAGGCTTTACTAAACCAGGCCTGGCTGGAGGTGCTAAACCCAGCTTGGGTGTTGGGTTCTGCATTGCCAGCCTGGCTGTGATTCCCACATGGATCATGGATTTTGGGGTGCCTGTGATCCAAGGGAGCAGCTGGAGCTGGGCCAGGAGGGGTTTGGTTGGATATTTTGGAAAATGTTCTTCACCTTCAGGGTGTCCTTGGACACTTCCAGGGATGCAGGGGCAGCCACAGCTCCTCTGGGAATTCCATCCCAGCCAGGAATTCCTTCCCAATATCCCACCCCAATCTCCCCTTTGTCAGTTTGAAGCCATTCCCTGTGTCCTGTCCCCCCATCCCTTGTCCCAAATCCCTCTCTGTGTTCCTGCAGCTCCTTCAGGCTCTGGAAGGCCACAATGATTTTTACCCCAAAACTTCTGAACAACCCCAATTTCCCCAGAATTTCCTCATCATTTAGGAAGTCCTGAAACCCCTTTGGTGCAAATTCCCTGGGGCTGGCTGGGAAGGGCTGGGAACAGGAAAATCAGGGAGTGGAGATGCCCTGGTGACCCCAGGGTGACGATTTTCCCAAATCTGGCCTGGCTGGCTCAGCTCTGCCCCACAGGGAGCCCCCACTCCCTCCCCAGGAACTCGATAACCCCTGAGCTGAGTTTGTTTTCATTGGACACTGGCTCAGCTCCTCTTCCCAGTTTGGAAAAGCTGCGGATCAGTGGGGTAGGATGAAATTTTCCATTCCATAAATCACTCGGCCATTCCACATGGATGTGCTCAGGCTGAGCCTTCCCACCCCAGCTCGTGTTCTGAGGGTTGTGTCACACTTCTTCCCATCCCTGAGCTCTTCCATCCCTTTTCCTGCTGGGAAGGGGCAGGATCAGGCACTGACCTCTGGGTCAGGCACTGAAAGCTGGGAAAATTCACTGCCAAGACACAACAAAGTCACAGAAACACCGAATTAATTGAATTAATTTAATTAAATCTCTGCAGAAGACCTCCAGGCTCATTAAGCCAAATCAGCACCTTCTCACCCAGAGCATCCCACTCTGTCCTTAGGGATAAGTTCAATATTTAAACAAAAAAAATCGTCTTTAAAGGCATTTCCAACCCAAACCCTGAAGTGTTTTAGGGGGAGGGTTTGGGTGAGTGGTGGGAGAGTCATGGTAAGGAAGAGTGAGACAGGCAGGAAGGGGTTAATCCTTCTGGCAACACCAGAATTCCATCCCTCCCTTGTTAAAATTCCGTATTTTTGTGCTGTTTTCCACTCCCACTGCAGATTTTAGAGGATTTCTTGGAGGGTGATGGAGCTGCTGAGCCTTTGCTGGGTGTCAGGAGCCCTGAAATCCAAATTCCCTTTGTGTTCCCCAGGCTGGGAATGGCATCCCTGCTTTTCCAGCAGCCACTCTGTGTTATCCCAGCTCATTCCAGACCCACCTGCAGCTCCTTTCCTTTCCTTT